AACTAAGCATCTATATTCAACTTATGTTATATAATCAAGGAACTAATATCATAATACTACAATCTTTTCAGAGCATATTTTTACAAGCAAAATCTCACAAACATTCCTATTTCTACGTGAATATACTCTAATGTGTGAATTTATATATGAATATAAAGCGCCAGTGACAATATCTAAAGCAGTTTAGATAGGCTGTCCATTATCCCATTAACGATTTGTAATAAGGTACTTCAAGGGCTAGATAATTGTCCCCTTAGGCTATAAGAGAAAGGCCCGGAGCAGAGTCTATGCATGGACGCACACAAACAGTCTCTCTCTCTCTCCCTCTGTCTCTGTCTCTCTCTCATAGGCATTCACACCCACAAACACACAGCCACACACTCCCTCTCTCTCACATGCACTCACAGGCACACAATGTCTTTCTTTCTCTCTCTCGCTCTTTCTCATATGCATTCACACCCACAAACACACAGCTACACACTCCCTCTCTCTCACATGCACTCACAGGCACACAATGTCTCTCTCTCTCTCTCACACACACATGCATTCACACCCACAAACACACAGCCACACACTCCCTCTCTCTCACATGCACTCACAGACACAATCTCTCTCTCTCTCTCTCTCTCTGTCTCTGTCTCTCTCTCTCTCTCTCTCCATCTCTCTCTCTCTCTCTCTTATACACACAGACGCACAGCCATACAGACACAGACGCGTCATAAATAACCATCAAAATTTTAACATGCGAAGGAAATTTTGAAGTGTTGGTTTTACGCCAGTGGATGTCTGGATTACTTTCGCACTCGGAAAAGTTATCGCCACGGTCCATAGGTCTTCGTCCTCGCCTGTCGCCGCCCCTGCACCCTACCGCGCCCCACACACGCTTAACGAAAGACAGAAAAAGTGCGAAGTAAGATAAGCTGATATTCACCTAATATGTCTTCATGAATTAGCAAATAACACTTGGATTAAAACAAAAAGCAAGATAATTTGATTTGATATTCACCTGATATGTCTTCATGACTGAGCCAATAACACTTGGATTCAAACAAAGTAATTAAAACAAATGCACATTTAAGGAATCTTACATCCCTAAAGTACAACCAATGACAAAAATGACGATCAGTGAATAAATAGATACATTTAGTCCTGATAGATGTGCTGGTTTTGCATTATCTGTTACGGGAAAAGTGAGTTCTTTAAAATGTATCAAGAAAGCAGATTCTCATTTTATCAATTTTACTTTTAATCTTATCTGTTTTAGTTTTAATTTTCTGGAAAAAAATGGAATGGTGTTAAATCAATGTCGTGATTCCCTTTGCAAAAAAATACTACCCCGTCCCGTATTATCCTAAAGACTTCAAAATCAGCACAAGAATTTAAGAGTATTATCTAAATCACACGACTTTTCAAATACGAAAACTATATATTTTTTAGGTACTAGATACAATGTTAATCCATAAAACCCACACAAAGCACCTAGATCCCAGTGAGAATGCTCTACATCAATCAAAATGAATACATATTTTACCTAAAAACACGACTTTACAATATCAAATAATCAACTGCAATTAATCTTCCTTCGTAATAACATATTACACAATAACTTTGGAAAACAAACACTACATGTATAAGGTTTTACAACACATTTTCAGTAGAATTTCCTATCAAATTTATAAATATGGACATTTTTTCTTACAGTAGGTATTATAAAAAACAACAACAACAGATTATGAATATTAAATTTATGAAACACTGTTATAGAGCGAGATTTGTATCAAAGCCATTCTACGTAGCTCAATCCTTTCAAGGGGCATTTCATGCATTGGCTGCTCTGTCAATGAATGGTTGAATTTTTGGAGACCCATAATTCATTACAAAATTTATGGTATTTGTACGTGAATGATTTAATAGATTCACAGGGTTTGCTTACTATGCCCTTTCTTTGTAAACGTTTTCTCCACACACATACACACACACACACACATATATATATTATATTTATGATATATATATACATATATATGTGTATATATATTATACATATGCATATATACATACAAACATATATATATATATATATATATATATATATATATATATATATATATATGTACCTATATATATATATATATATATATATATATATATATATATATATATATATATATATATGTATACACAAATATATGCATGTATATACATATACATATATATATACATACATACATACATACATACATATATGTATATATATATGAATATATGTATGTATGTATATATATATACATATATATATATATATATATATATATATATATATATATATATATATGTATATATATATATATGTATATATATATGAATATATACACATAAATGTATCTGTATATATATATATATATGTACATATATATATATATATATATATATATATATATATATATATGTATATATATATATATATATATATATATATATATATATATATATATATACA